AAATACCAAATTTAAATGAAATTGGTTCAGCAACGAAAAAGTAAATAATGTGGGATGTGGGATTAAAAACAAGAAAATGCAATCAAGATCTATAGGCAGCAGTATATATGTATATAGAATTATTAAATATACAATTAGTAATATTCTCTGCCATATTCATATATTTACTTTGATAATGAGGATGAAGCTGGAGGGTCTATTAGATTTTTCCAACAAAATTCGGTAATATGGATTATCTCTGACGGTTCAGCGTGGAGCTGCAAACTCTATCAAATACAACCAATAAAAGTCTAAGTTATATATAATATGCCCTCTGCTTGATCTCTTTACTTTGGTAGCAGAATCGAATTGACTCGGCAAACAAAAGTGAATCTCTTTAAAGTTCTACAAAGTATTGATCATCAAATTCATATGAAATTGAGTCATACTCCCTCTGCCAGATTATAATTGCCTTGGTAATCATTGTGAAGCTGCAACTCTTATCAAATATAACTAACAAAATTCCATTTGTAAGATCTATTTACTTTGAATCGATCCTCATATCTATAGCACTTCTTCTGCTCTGGCTCCAAAGTGAATCATATATTTTTGTTAACCAACACTGGCCAATGTGAAGCTCTTAAGTAGCTTCTACTCAGCTTTTCACTTCTTGGCATTAACGGCAGTGTATCGTGCTCTGGCTCCGGCTCTGGCTCTGGAGAGAGTTACCTAAATAAGTATATACTAATATATACAATCAATTTGACATAGGGGCTCACGGGGGCGCAGCAATAAAGAATTTTCTTTTCTGGCTAATTTTTTGTTACATTTTTTCATGCTTATTCTTCTTGTTCTTCATCATTTTGTTTGTTTGTTTCTGGTTTCTGTTGACATTTCTTGAGAGTTTTCACCCGCTTTGGCAACCTGCTGCTTCCACTTGCTTTGGGTTTTTATGGCACTGCGTTCGTTGAAAAAAAATGGAAAAAGGGAGCACTGGAAAATTGTTTCTGTTGGACTGCTTGTTGTTGTTATTATTGTTATTGTTATTTTACTGTTGTCTTTTGCACGTCCAACCGCTCGACACGTGTCCACGTGGCCCGTGCGCATATCGAAAAGGCGCAAAGAAAAAAAAAAAAAGCAAAGAGAAGAACAAATGAAGAGAAGGGCAAAACTTTTCCCATTCGCTTTCGGGCCTTTCACCAAAATCATTTGATTCCCAAGTTTATTTTCCAGTTGCCTTTCACTGACTTTTTCCCACAACTTTCGACCGAACTTAGACCAAATATCTGGCGCAATGTTTTGCATTTAAATATTTTCTTTCTTTTCTTTTTTTTTATTTTTTTTTTTTTTTTTTTTTTTTTTTTGGCAATTTCAATAGCATTAGCACTCGGTTAACTTGCAGCGCTGTCTCGATTCTGTTTGCTCAACAGTTAGCATTTTCCTTTATAATTTTTCGCGTGGCAATGCTCTCGCTCAAAACGCTTCGTGTTTATTAATTTCCCCAACAGCTATTAGCTGCAACAAACCACTTTTGGCACTGACAAATAGCGGCAAATTATGAAGTTCCAGTTCCATGCCAGCCCCAACAATCCGACCCGTGCCCGGAAATGACCCAGTGCCAAAACAGTTCAGTAACTTTGGCCCGCCGCTCCGCCAAAAAGGAAAACTTTTTGGGCAATTTCTTTTTTTAGCCGCGCGCCAACAATTAATTGAAATTAACATATTTTGCTTTTATTTAAGGCAACTTATCAGGCGAACCGCCGCCCGCATGAGCGACCAAACCATTTCACCACCACCACGTCCCACGCCCCACGCCCCACGCCCCACGCCCCTCACCGCACTCTGCTTTAATCCCCTACTCCTGCTCTCGCACCCTGTCGCGCTCATATTTCAGCTGTCATGTCGATTTCCATGGCTGAATTTCTCTGCAACGCAAAAGTTTTAATTTTTTGAAGTTCTGGGCATACTTTTCACATAGGCGTCAACTTTGCAGCCATAGCGGCCAGCTCATCTCCTCCAACCCTTTTCCAGCCCTAGGCTGGCCTAACCCGTCTATGCTGTGCGGCCGTGGCAGCTGTTACGCATTTCAATCAGCATTAGGTTGCTCGAAACACTTGGCTATGGGCGCCGACTTTAAAGCAGTTTATATCTTGCGTGGTTGCTTATCGCATTTGTATATCGATAAATATGCGATTGTTAGATAAGGCTGTTCGGGTTAGCAGTAGCCCGTGCCTATTGATTTGAAAGAAATTCGGAAACATGGCAATTGGAATGGAGAGAGATATAGATAGAGAGAAAGATGTAGATAATAATCTGTATATTATATATCTCAATTTACAAGGCAAATTTCTTATCTGCAAGACTCCTGCCCTTAGACCGCAACAGCTCAAGCTCAACATCTTGACCAACTTATTTGAGTCCTAAGTGATGCTAAGCTAACTTTTTAAGATCGTCAAAGTTGATTGAATCAAAATTACAGTTTTAATGTGCTTCAACAGCAATAAAAGCTCTTAATGAGTGTTGACAAGTTTGTCTACTTAAGCAGCTTAATTTGGCAACCATTTAATGAGCTCTTTGTTTTCATTTACCAGGGCATTCATATCTTCAGCATTTCAGCCTATCATTGCATATAAATCATAGCAAATTTGATGAACTGATTGTAGCTACGAAATCCAGGAGCAAATTTATTGAGCTTTCACTAGCGGTTTCAGCAAACAGTTAACGCTTCAGCTGGGGCACAGATTCAGCCCGCTCGAATCGGAATTCCCGGCGAACACGCCTAAGGGGGCTGGCTGGCTGGCTGGTTGGTTGGTTGGTTGACTGGTTTGGTTGGCTGGTTGGCTCAGTTGACTGGGCTGGTGGGCAGACGCCATTTCCGAGCTATCACAACTCCCATATCGCGCATGAGGTGGACATTGCTCATACGCCAGCGAGTCCCCAGTTGCCCCATTTGCTTGGGCCTGGGCTTGTTCCTGTGCTTGTGTTGGCTTTCTAGCTGGTATTTAGTTTGTGTTATTGTTTGCCCAGCTCTTGTTGTTGTTCCTTCTGCCCTTTATGAAAAATTATACGAAACTTTTAATTTAGTGTGCGCGCAGCTTAACAGTTGTGGGGCCAGGCCATGGCTCCATAGGTGGAGTAATGCCGGCTCAAATCCCAATGCGGCGGCTGGTTAATGTTCAAGTCGGCCGAGACGGCGGTACGGTGTGGCATAATGCGTGGGCTAACGGCAAATAAATTACGTGCTTCTACTAAGTGCGCGCTCTGCACGCTGAGCATTTGATTTGCCTCTTAAACGTGGCTGCTCGGCCGACAGCCGACAGCCGAAGGCGAATCAGGTCAAGCAGTGCGGCCTAATGATTGCACTAGAGCAAGGCTGAAAGCTACAATTCGCTGGCAACTCAACTGAAGCTGCCTTGAACCAGAAACAACAGAGCAAAGAGTTCAATTGAATAATTTTCAATGTGATTTTCAGCCAGAGTTCCGCCAGAGTTCCTGCAGAGCTGAGTGTAATGCAATATGATGTTGCCATGCAAACCTCAACGTCAACTCTGAGACTCCACTGCTGACACTTCCGGTCATTCAAATGCGAATCAATGTGCACTGCCCACATACGCAGAGGGCGGACCATCCATTACTGATATTCGACTCTGCCACTGCCGCCTAAAAGTAGGCAATGCCTTTTTTTGCCGCATGGCATTCGTGCTTATAGAGGTGAAACCAATCTGTGCTTTGTGCTCGCCTGCGTCTCGGCAAGTATTTTAGCGCGATAATTACGCGCTGCTCAAGTTCCGGACCGCTACCTATAACGGGCAGCAGCACGGGGGCGGCCCGGTGTGGGCGTGGTAGAGCAGAGCAGAGCTAGCCATGAGTACTGCGCGTTGGTTGAACTTTCGGCATTTCTGTGGAATTCAATTTCAAAGCTATATCATTTTCATTTAATTTCACGCTTTCAATTTGCCAACCGAGCGACGACAACACACTCACACACACACACACAACTAGTGGAGGGTCTTGTGGGCTATCCTTTTTGACTGCCTCTCCACCTAGTCGCCCCGTGCCACAATTCCTTTCACAGCTCTTTGTGTACAGCTCTCTCTCTCTCTTTCTCACTCTCCTTTTCTCTCTCTCTCTCTCTCTCTCTCTCTCTCTCTCTGTGTGTGTGTGCGTTTAGATGACCTCGTCCGTGCCTCGCCGTCGGCGTGCCATAATAGATTTTTGCACCTATTGTCTGTAAAACGAAACCGTAACGAGCTACTAAAATCGCTGATACCCTTAATATGCATGTGGAAGCACATGTATTTTGCTCTACCTTTTGCCATCCATCAATTTGATTGACGGCCAACATTTGACTATTTTTCGCTTCTGACGTTTTGTTTTTTTTTTCTCTCGAACTGATTGCAGATATTATGTTCGCACTCGATATGCCCCGCGCACAGATTTGTGCGTGGTATTGCAAGTGCATTGAGGGCTGTGCATTGCTTGATTGGATGCTCTTTTGATTCAGTCTCTATTTTTGGCTCTTCACGTCGATCTCGCCAACATGGATGCGATGAAAACGTTTTCCATTCACATGGGTTTCTATCGCTATTTTGTCAGCCAGCTCAGTTTAACGGGAGGTTTAACAACAGAGAGAAAAAACGAGCTCGTCTCATATTCATGAATTGTTTCATAAGTTGTTGCTTATATTTTTATTTTTATTTTCGCCTTCTCATTTTGCTGGGCCTAGTAAATGAAATTTTAAAGTTACCTATTTCCGACCCTAATCAAGACAGCAGCTGTGCGTGTGTGTGTGTGTGTAGGTGCGCGTGTGTGTGTGTGTGTGTAGGTTGGTGGTTGCAAATTAAGTTATTATTGTGAGGGTTGAGGGAGGGCGGGTGATTGGCTAAATGATGATGAAAACTTAAATGCTTTATATTATGAAAAACTAATGTAATCAATTCTTGCTTTCTCTCTCTCTCTCTCTCTTTCCCTCTCGCTCACTCACACACTTGTCACCACTTCTTCCGTCTTTAATTACAATATATAGCGAAAACTTTGATTAATTAAAAGTAAAGAAAAGCACAACAACAAAACACAAAAGCAGCTCAATGCCGAGGAGCGCCAAGCAACTCTTCGTGGACTTTTTGTGCGTTAGCCTTGTTCGCCCGTTTGCCAAGGACACCATTCAATAAACAACAACGCGAACAAAGAGCAACAAACACAAATACAAAAGAGCAAAAAACAGAAAGAAAAAAAAAAAAAAAAAAAACAAAACAAAGAACTTAATCAAATTTCCAGCAAATCATCGAAATGGAATTGAGCATCGGAATTGCCAAGCATTTAGCGAGCTATAACAACAGCAGCAGCAACATCAACAGCAGCAGCAGCAACATCAACAGAAACGGCAACAGCAACAGCAACAGCAACAACAACTGCAACAGCAATAGCAACCAGATCACTATTCGAAGTTGTTCGAAAACTGAGTTGAGCCATCGCTGCAACAAAAACAACGACAAACATCAACTGAATACCAAAAGCGACAACAGCAGCAGCAACAGCAGCTACAATAACAACAACAAAAGTAACAATAGCAATAGCACAACGATTCCGATAACAGAAATAGCAAGAACAACAACAACAACAACAACAACAACTTCAAACATTACTAACCAGCTAGATCGAACAGCCGATACGGCAGCAACAGCAACAGCAACAGCAACGACTGAAGCTGAAACAGCAACAGCCGCAACAACAACAGCCACAGCAACAACAACAACAACAACAACAACAACATTAAAAGCTGCAGCAACCGTCCATCAAGCAGCTGACAGCCTCAGCAACACCTATAATAGCTACAACAACAACAGCAACAACAACTACTACTAAGCCGGCAATAGTAACTGCAACAATCAGCAAACCGGCAGGAACAACAACTCCCAGCTACAACAACAACTGACAAACAACAACCCAAGATGCAACGTCTACGTACAACATTCACGCGTTCGCGCACGCCGACGGGCGCCGAGATGAAGATGCAGAATAGCCTCGAGGTGCCCAAGCAGGTACAATGTCCACAGCAGACTCATATATCGATTAATTATCGGAATTCGCTTAAAGTTGAGCTATCGATGAGTTATCGCAATCGATAACGGCGCACATATCAGCTCATCGATATATTGAAGCGATCGATAACTAATCATATATGATCGATAGTTATTGTGTTGTGTTATCTTATTCTCTGTGCATGTTCCTGTTATCGATTTTGTTTACATTTCAAATTTTTTATCGTTTATCGAGTGTTTACTTTTTTGCAACTTGTGCCAAGCTTTTCGTTTTCTTATCGATAACCTGCAGCATACTAATCCCAGCTATTGGCAGTGCTGCATGTTCGATAACTTATCGCTTTTGTTTGTGTTTGTCTCTGTGATTTTGTGTTGGGCCCGCATGAACGGCAGCCCCGCCTTCCTCTCTCTCGACTTCTCGGTGTCTTTGTCTCTGAGTAATGAGCAGCTATGTTTTACTCTCTCTCTATCTCTTTCTCTCTCTTTCTCCCTCTCTCTTTGTCGCGTGCTTGTGCTGTTCATTCGTAGGTGCGCTCCGCCTCGTTTGACGAGATGCAGCTGGAGGCGCAGCGCATGTCGGCCCATCTGCTGAAGCAGCAGTCGTCCTCGTCGGCGGACGAGAGATCATCGGAGGGCGGCTATCTGCAGGTGCCGCAGGCGGCGCATGCGCAACGCTCGCACAGCTTCGACTCGGCGGCTGCCTCGGTGGGCAGCGACGATTCGGGCGCCTTCTTGGAGGTGCCGCGCCGTCTGAAGGCGCGACGCAGCTCGTCGACCAAAACACCGCCGCCCTGCATCCATTGCTACTATTTGGAGCAGTACGAGAAGCAGATGAGCGCCGAGCAGCGCTACTTCATAGACCATCGCGAGCTGTCGACGCTCAGCTACAGCAACACCAGCTCCGAGGCTAGCGACGATGAGGACATTACCGAAGCGCTCGAGGATGACGAAGAAGACGATGGGGCGGAGGGGCCAGCTGACGCCGATGCAGAGCCCGATGCGGAAAGGCATAGGGAAGGGGATAGAGATGCGGATGCGGATGCGGATGCCTGCGCTGAGGCGGATGCCAGCGGAGGCACAGAGCTCGATGACGATGCGGCCGCCGAAATGGACATACGCATGTCCAACCTGAGCATGGGCAGCAGCATTGAGGAGTCGAGGGCGCGTCTGCCACGGCAAATGCGTCGCCACACGATCGGCAGCTCGGTGACCACCTCCGAGGATGAGGGCCTCGAGGGCTCCGACCACGGATCGCCGCACTTCGGCAACACGCTGCTGCCGCCACAGCCGACCACGCCCTGTGGCATCACCTTCACGCTGTCGCCCACCAACGGCGACTATCCACCATTTCCCACCTATGCGTTTCCCATTGACCCTAGCTCGCCGCCCATCACGCCCATTACGCCCACGCCGGCCGTGGTGCGCTCCAGCCCGCTACTGGAGCTGCCGCCCTCGGCTGCCAGTCATCTGCAGCTGAGTGCCACCGCCGCCGCGGCAGCTGCGGCGCTGTCGCTGCCCGCGGCGGGCAGCAGCGGCGGCACCACCACCATCAACGCCAGCCCCATTTGCATCAGCGGCGATGTGGATGAAACGGGCGTGGCGATGGGCGTGCCACCGGGCCGGGCGCGGCGTCGCTCCATATCGCGGCAGGAGGCGATATTTGTGGAGCCCACCGGCAACTCGCTGGAGAATGTGTCGCACGAGGAGGTGGACAACACCAAGTCGTCGGTGGACACGGCAGACTCGCTGGACGAAGCCTCCACGATGGCCACCTGCGGCTCCCCAACGGCCGCCAATGCGGCAGCTGCGGCAAACGCCGCTACGGCTGCTCATCACGCCGGCTTCGTGGTGCGGGACATTTATCTAACTGTGCCGGATCTGAAGCGAGATCGTGCCGCCTCAGTGGACTCGTGCTTCACGAAGCTGTCGTCGGGCGGCAAGACCGAGGAGCTGCAGCCCACCGGCGACGGCTGCTTCCTTACCGTGCCCAACATCAATGCAACCCGATCCCGCTCCGTGGACATTGTCCTGCCCACCGACGAGCAGGCGCGCTACAAGGCGCTCGCCATGACGGGCAGCGGCGGTGGCGCCAGTGGAGCAGCCGCTGGCCTCTATGCGGATGGGTAAGGCGCTCTCTCTTAACCTACATCAATTGTTTGTTTGTTTGTCTTTTTGATTGTTTTTTCGTGTTGTCTTTTGTTTCATTCCGTTTGCTTCAGTTTGGGCGATTTACTAAATATTTAACCAAAGAAATGATGATTGCTTTAACTATCGATATATCGATAAATACATAACAAACTGCTTGCGCGAGTGCTTCAGTCAGGGCAAAGCAGTTCATGATCTTCCTTTTATAGATATGCTTACAAATGGGCCGAGGAACTGACAACTGGAGTTGGATGAGCGTCCAATTAAATTGGCTCTACTTATCGATAAATATTGATATCTTTGGCTTGCAGCCTTTGGCCATATCATTTCGTAATCGGGCTAATCGACATTGAAGTCGATGAATTCGTTGAGCTTTGCCTAGCCCCATTAGTATTATCATCTTAGCTCGACACGTGTCTGCCGCTGCGATGTGGGCGAGGTCTTGCGGCTTTAAGCCTAATTAGAAAAGAGGCTCGGTTAACTGTGGGTAGCAGAAAGTTGGAACCGCATTTCATAATTCACAGGCGGTGCGCGGTCATTGACTGGACGGCTGGCTGTGCTGTGCTGTGCTGTGACAGGAGGCGCACAGGGTGTTTCGGTTGACGCATGTATAAATTATGGCGGCTGTTGTTGAAAAAGCGAGTCAGCCAAGCGATTTCCTTGAATTACAACAAAAGTAGCCCATAAATAACATTCAAACAAAGTGTCCTGTTGCCCAAACTAACAGCTAAGCGTACAGGACGAACGGACGCCGACTCCTCTATACGAATGTTGGTGGATACCCGCATATACCCAGATAGTCAGCCGAACAGCCTCGAGGACAGACGACAACCGCTTCACGCTGAGTGTCGCCCGAGTGTGGCCAATTGTGGGCAATTTGTAAGCGGGCGAAATGCTAAGCTTGGGGGTGTGGCAGCCGCTGTTGCCAAATATGGTTAAGCCGTTGTACAAACTTGTTTAGATAGATTGATGATTATGAGTTTTGCGACAGGCATGCAAGTTAATCAGCCTGAAAAAGACACAACTTTCTGATGGATAGCCAAGTTAAGCGGCTAGTTATTTGTTCTCTTTTTTCTTTCTTCGCTTGCCTCTTGCCTATGTCTCTGTTGGACATATCTGGAAAAGTTAGCCGGCACATAGATTTTATACTTTTGACGGAATCGTTGTTATCGTATCAAATCACAGCTGCGTCAAGTGAGGACAAAACGCTTGCAGCTTTAAGTGAGATTTATTGCATGTCGAGCTGCAAATTAAAAAGCTAGTTTTAAGGCCAAGGCACACTGGATATAGACCAAGGGACTTTAAAGTCTTTGTAATTAAAATGTAAATATTGTAAATATATGGACTGAGCTGCTGAAATGCTGACAAATCTAAAGCCAAAGCTCTCGTGTGAGCTGCCTTCAAACTAGTTACTTTAGCTTATATTAAAGCTCATGAGTGAGCTAAGAGACAACACTATAGCCATAAAAAAAGCTCTCGTGTGAGCGCCCTTAAAGCTAGCTACTCTAGGGTCTAATCTAAGCTCTAACAGCACAAAGCCCTCCGAAACATTTATACAATTATATTAAAGCTCATGAGTTAAGAGACTAACAACTCTCTGGCCATACCCTAAGTCTTATATGTGAGCTAGCTACTCTAATAAAGCTCATGAGTGAGTTAAGAGACAACTGACTCCGCTCTGGCCATACGCTAAAGCTCCTGTGTGGGCTGTCTTAAAGCTCTCTACACAGGAACCTAATCCAAGCTCTACTTATAACTGACTAATCTTTAATATTTACTGATTTTTGTGGGCTTTTGTTTACATATTTGAAATTTATGTTAAGTTCTTGACTTTGCCCACATTCAGCATAATTTTGTCTGATACTCGCACACACACACATACACACACACACACACACCCTGACATATATTTTCTAATTCCTGGTCAAATTTACTAAGATTTCTCTTTCATCTCCATTGCAGGTACGTATATATGTGTGTATATATCATGGTCAACTGAATTTGAACTGCCCATAGGCCGGCAGAAAATGAAACCACAGTCAATTTGCGCAGATAAGTATTGATAGCTGTTAGCCTTAAGCGGGGCCGAAAGACAAGCAGAAGAAGAAGAAGAAGAGGGAGATGCCACTCAGTATTGTATTTACACACGAGAGATTTCCTTTTTAATTTCCGATTCATGTGGCTACGTGGTGCAGGCACAGATCGGGCAGTGGGCGGGTATGGATGGGCGTGGGCGTGGGCGTGTGTGATTGGGATGTTCATTTATGAACGGATTTCTATATAAATATTTGCTGATGTTTATTTTTTTGTAATCTTGATTTGTTGTTCTTGTTCTTGTTCTTGTTCTCGTTGTTGTTGTTATTGTTGTTGTTGTTGTTGGGGGTATATTAGCAGGCATGTGGCTGGGCATTTGGCTTGCGCCCCGAGCGGATGCCAATGGCCATCATAAAGTTGATTTTTGATTTACGATGCCCAAGCGTGACATGTTATTGTCTATCTGCACCACCCGTCGCACCACCCACTCCGATGAGGGGTGGAGTGGTTGGCCAATGGCCACCCCCAGCTATTAACTGGCCAATGATATGTTTAATTTTTTGACCTTTTGCTCAATAAAAAGGAAAATATTATAAAATCATTCAATCATGCGGCGCATGTCGACATCGCAGCCAGCCATTCATCCAACCAGTCAACCAGCCTGTTTAGTTTAGTTTTTTTTTCTTGTTTCTTTCTGCTTCGCTTCCCTTTTTTTGGTGGCTACATGCGGCTCATTCATGCGAATTCGATGGCCATCATTGTGGCTGTGTTTCTTTTTTTTTTTTTTTTTTTTACGCTCCCTTGGGCAGCTCAAGCAGCAACAGCGATAACAATAATAATAATAAAAAAACAACAACAACAGCAAACAGTGAACTTCATTTTTATGACAATGGCGAAAATAATTTTATGAAAATTCTCCCCAGAGGCGCAAAGAATTGCAGGCATCTAAATTACCATAAATACCAGAGGCGTTGTGGGAGCATTTGAAAAGTGGAGAAAGTGCGAGACGTGAGGAAAGCGGCGTGAGCGGGTTCATTATAGCCACTGACCCGGCCATTAAAGGGGCACTTTAGCCCAGAGGCTGGCGCACGGCTCATTGATGTTAATCATTGTAACTGCTGTAAATAGCCAAAATGTGATAGATTAGCAGTGTGAGATCCTAAAACGATCAACTACTCGAACTGAAATGTAGAAAGTTAACTGTCAACTGATCCAAGCAATGCAATAGCTATTCACAATGGGAGGCGTGAGTTGGGCAATTTTTAGCAGACTAATTGTAGAGCTCGATCAGCGATCAATGCGACACGGCGATATTTGATTATAGTCAGAAGAGTTTTTCCTAAATCCCAATACTCGAAGCTCTTCCGCGTTGGGGCTAATGCCCTTTATCATGCTTTAATACTAACAGAAGTGAACAAAATTTTGGTAAGACTTAAAAAACCTATACTTCCTTGAAAACCTATACTTACTAGAAATCTGATACTTAAAAATTTAATGGGAAATAAGATAATAATAGCCTCACATGCATAATATTGTAGACATACTCTAAACTAAAATTAAAGCAAGCTTTGTAGCCAATTGTAAGACTACCAAATACGTAACGGTATTATATAAGAAATATAAGACCTCATAGACATTTTAAAAAAATTTTCCGTACACATGTCATATAGAAGATCTCAAATACTCATTGTAATTGAAATTACCTGGTTCTATAATCGATTTTAGTACTACAAAATTAGTCTTGCCAATGTCCAAAAAGTTAACATTGGTAAAACTATATATAACTATATATAAGAAAATTGATTAATTATAGATGATATAAAATACGCACAACATTGATTTCAATATTTATATATACATATATAGAGTATTTATAGATTTCTATAATTACAGACTCGTCTCAGTTGAGCGATCTGTGAAATATTTTTGCATTTGATCTAATATTTAATAATAAGCGCACAAATGGTTTCGCTTAACTGTGAGAGATCATGTGATTCGACTATAAATTATATGCCCATAATATTCGCATTTAAATCAAATTTTCGGTGTATTTCACCCGAGTGAGTAACGATCTATAATTTTGATGGGATGGCTTCACAATACGTTTGATCCATCATCAGATTTATGGAATCAATGATTGGCCTATAATTGAAAATCCCTAATGTAGAACTGACGTCATCTCATATTAAATATAATACCCAAGATGAAATATGTATATAAATTAGTTCTATTTCATTGAATTACATTCCATATACATACATATATTGTGTGAGGCGTTAATCTGGATTGTGTGTTCGTCCATTTGGATGCTGCATATCGCTGCACTCTAATTGACTTCTGATGGCCACTAAATTTTTCGGCTAGACCATAAAAATGTCTATCGTAATGCTGTCGATGCTATTGTCCATGTCCCGGGCCGGGCGGGGCTGGGGACGTGCTCTGCTCGGAGTTCCAGTTCCGGATTGCTGACGCACACCGCAAATAGCCAGCGCAACAAGAGGCAGCTAAAACAACAAGCAGATTTCTGTTTTTTGCTAGCCCATACCCTGGACTCATTACACGTGTGGCGGGGAGTATTGGGTCTGTGTTTTAGAAGAAAAGAATGATTAGAGGAATTTGAGATTCAATGGAGATTCATTTTGATGAATGAATTAGACTTTTCCGGGCTGGTCATATAGATTAGGCAGTATTATCTAATATATTGGCCTCAAATGCTCATTAGCTATAAGTGAGGCAGGTGCTTGTTACAGGGCATCTATTAGTCGGTCAGCTTAAGGGCTGTGCTTGCCTTCACTTGTCTGGCAACTACGTCATCAACAATCGTCAATCGTCAGTCCGTCAGTCGTGTGTGTACGCGTCGTGGCGGCGACTGCGGGGACTGGGGGGGCGACGGCTGCAAAACGCCAACAACAAAGGCAACGAAATTGAAATGCAAATTGAAGGC